GCGCTGAACCATTTGGGAATGTTTGCCCTCTTACCTGTGTCCTTGCTGGGCTCCAGGACTCCTTGTGGCTCCGGTGACACACTTTTGGCTTCTGAAGCCAAAAGTGTTCTGAACACTTTCACCACTCTATTCAGCTAAGTAGCAAATTACATAAAAATGTCTGCAGGATAACATGCCTGGGGCAGATCCAATCATTGAGGATTCTCAAAAACCGCAAAAGAACCCATTTTGGGGTCTGTAACAATGATTTGGATCCCATTGATTTTATAATACGATCCCAATATAAATTAGTACACAGTGAAACTAATGCTAGTATCACCATTAAATATCTATAAACGTAAAATATACATGTCTAGTTTGTCAAATAGTTCTACTGCTAAACAGATTTAGAAGGCAATTATATGATTCACTAATTAATTTAGTATTATTAACAAAGTGAATTTCAGGCAACGCTCGTGTTCAAGCAGTTTGTCAAGCATTGATATAAGCAAACACCCTATACAATTACACAGCATTAACTCTTACTGTCTCCAAGTTCTGCCATCATCTACTAAATACATTCTATTGCCCACATTATGCTTAGGTTAGATAAAGTTGTATGTACTTACGTATTATCCCCTCTGTGCCATCCACATGCTTTGGAACGTAGTACGCGGACAGGTCTCCCTGTATTATTTCATCTGCAGTTGCCCTCGCCACACCAGCAGCCAAAAATGATGGGCAATTACTAATGGAAGAAGACAGAAGAGAATGTTAGACATATTATTTTAACAAGATCACACAGCATTTGTTTAGCAAGTTGCCGAGAACAAGAGGGCAAAGAAAAACTGGGCAAAATACAATTTTCTGGCCATATTCTATAATAAATTATATTACAGATTAGCAGCTTGCTAGACTTCTTATGGTATATCAAGATATGGATTCTATTTCTGCCTCCGCTCGTCCATTTTCCTGACTGTACAGAAGTCAGATCTTATCACAAGAGGATGGTAAATTGTTATCGAAAACATGTTTTGCACTTGAAGGTTATTATGCAAATCTAATTGTGAAGAAATCATTTTCCACTCTGTGAAATCACTCTCTGCTGTTGGTCCTTTCTTTCCTTAAGGGGACAACATTAGATTGTTTCTAATGTATATGAGTCAAGCTGTTTTAATGACATAAAGCCCTTAATGGTTTTCTAACACCTGTTTGTTTGTTGGTACTTAGGAAATCTCAGAAAATGAATTAGGTTTTATAAAAGGTCTAAACCGGCAATTTAACCGTGTAAACACTAAAAAGAAAACATTCAAACAAAACTGAAATAAAGTGTACACTTTGCCAAACATTTTAAGCACAGGTTAAACAACTAGCTCTTAACTAACACAGAGGCTATCAGAGAAAGGAACATAATTTTCGCTAGTGGAATGTTATGAGTTATTGGGTGTCAGTAGGGCTGTTGTCCAGATAGGGAGAGAGGTAACTGGACACAGACAGCTTGCATTTTGAATGGAATAAGAGCACGTCTGCCCTGTATGATATGATATATCCTAGCAACAGCATTCTGGTTAATTCAGATTACAGAGTGCTAAACACAGCCTGCCCCCGGGGATCTGCAAACTGTGCATTCTGCCCAAAAACCACCAGACATTAAACGTGTACATTGCTATATAGATAAGCAGCAGAGAAAGAAGAGAACTATATCATCTTTTCATACTAAGGATTTATTGTAGTTTAAAGAGTATTATTGCTATGGAGCTCTGGTACACACACACAAACACACATACACACACACACATGAATGAGGAACTGTCGTTGCCATCAGAACATCAAAATCATGCCGCAACAAAGAGCCAGTAGCCAGCAGGTTTATAAATGGAACATACATTACCAAGCTACTTATAAATAATCATATTAGCTGCAGGAAAAAAGTTTTAATATTGTTATAAAGTGGAAGATTTTTTTAAATATATGCAGTGAAAAGACGGATATACATTACTGGTCATATTGCAATATTGGGTTGGAACAGCAACAGCGCTGTTTTAGTGTTCTTGACGATTCAGCACTTATGAACCACGTAGTAGAAGCTTTCTATCAGAGCACAAAAGGTTGACATCGAAAAAAAACATGCATCACTCAACAGTTATTACAATTCAGAAATGTATTAAGTAGATCATTGCTGCTAGCAGAAAAGCACAAATACAAGATACTCAACTATTCCAAGTTGGGAGTTTAATTCCTATGTTGGAGTCTTTGTGTAAAGTGGACGTGTCAACGTTCCAAACTTGTGCTATGCAGCCACATTGACCATGTGTTCATTATTAGGCATTCACATTAATGGATCCTACCCTCTTGATGGAAGCTAACAAGTTCTCAAAAAATTAGAAGGATGGAGAATAAATAGACGATGGCTTGTGGGATGTTTCCCGGAATGGCTAATAAAAGGCAGCATTACAAACCTAAAAGGGTAGTGGCAGTCTAGTGCCACTCTTACCATTTGTGAGGGCCTGGTTCAGACAAATTCTCTGGTCTACACTTCGTCTGCACAAATACATGATGAGCCACACATAACTTACACACATACATTACTTGTCACACCAACTTGGCACTCACTGGCGCACATACATAGCCATGCACTAACACACAGCTGTACTCTAGCACATAAACATAGATACACACTATAATATACAGAAACATGAAACTACCACACACACGCAAACATCCATAACCAAACATACAAACACACAGTAACCGACACCTATAAACAAACACTAGTAGATATCAACTGAAACACATTAGTAGTCATTCAAAGACTGATACTAGTAGATATCAATTATCACACATACTAGCACACATAAAAAGAAGCACACTAACACACATTCCTATAAATACATGCGTAAACCCACATGCACTATATAATAGTTTTATCCCTCTTTCCTATTCTGCATGCTTCTTAAACAATTCTCCATTGCTCTTAATCCCTAGTGTCTAGTTATGGATGAGAGGAAGAGCTGAGAACCAAGCAGCATTGTCATCACTACTGCTCCCCCTCAGCACGTGGCTGCGCAGGTAGCTGGTTCCAGGCGCATAGTGAGGAGGGGGACGTATGTGGCTAACCGACACCAGGCACATGTCTGGTGGGGCCCGCTGCTGGCATCAGAGACTCATAATACCTATCAAAAACATGCAACACCACAAGCAGCATCCTTGCAAACACACAATACTGCAAACAGCCTACACAGACACGACACCACAGGCAATGCTTTTCCCAAGTCAGCTACCATGCCCAAGATATTGCAATTTCCTTAACAGTTCACTTCACTTTATAGTGAATAGACTCTTTTAGTATACTAGCCTACTTATATAGAGCAGATATTTTTGGATTAAAATGAATGAGTGTCCACACATTTATTGTTATATAACAAAATCCTTGGCAAGGGTCCTGAAATCTGTGAGAGGCACACACTTGGTTTGGGGAGAGGGAGGCTTGACTCCAGGTGCCTCATAACCTCCCTGCCCCCCGCGCCCCTTGGCTGGTGCCAGGAAATATGAAACAAAGGGGAGATTTATCAAGTAAAAAACAGGTGCTATACTGGGGCAAAGTACTAAATAGGAACCAATCAGTACAAAATCCCAAATAATGCCACTTTGCACCCAAAATAGCACATGCTTTGCTTTGATACAACGTATATTCAATTTTTTCTTTTTGTCTTTTTTTTTTATACACCCAACTTCTAAGAAAATTGACTTTTTCAGCTTTAACACCTGTTAGACATTTACTGTGCATTTGGGCTTATTCCTCACGGTAATGAGGAATCTGCAGACAAGGTCAACGTTATTCAGGTAAAATACTGGTTTCACTTAAAAGCTTTACTAGACCACTGTGAATCAAGCTGTTTATCAGATCATTTATTAGACCACACAGAATATAACCCATCCTGCTTTCCCCCTTTATCAGCTGGAGGCACACACTAGATATGGTGAGAGTATCTTATCTTCAAAATTGAAAATAGAAAAACCCAGTTCCATCTTTTTTTAATTTTGTGAATCTATTGCAGATCACCACTGTTCTGCTCTCAGCACACATGATCTGAACAGTTAGAAACATGCTTGTTGTCATTTAAAGAATAACAGCAGATTTCTCGAAAGTCCAAGGTTGCTTCTATAAAAGAAACAAAAACATACTTTTTCAAGTCTCTTTAAAGCTCCCTTCACACCTAAACATCCCTAGACTAGGGTTAGTAAAATGTCCTAAGCTACTAGCCATGCCTTAAAACATACTTGCCACTGCAAGCCATAGTTTACCCACCAGGCATGAATTTCTACTCACCAGGGCTACATGTTCACTAGTCAATGGCTAAGAAATGTTGTGCCCCTGCCTTGGCAGCAAAATCACTTTAACCCCTTAAGGACACATGACATGTGTGACATGTCATGATTCCCTTGTATTCCAGAAGTTTGGTCCTTAAGGGGTTAAAGAGACATTTCAGACTGAGAATGACATTATTAATGCACTTTATAGAACTTTGAAGATCTTCAGTTGCTACAAATCCACTAGGCCAGTAAGCAGCTGAACCCTGTCAGTCAGTACAAACATTCTGTAGTTTTCAATTGGTGCACATTATATTTCATAAACCACTGTTTAGCAACACTTGGTCCAGCACTTGGCTGTAGTTTTATCAATCACAAAATCTGAATGGAACCGCTAGCCAACATGATAACAGTTGCATTTTGGCGGCAATTTTTGGTGGGGCCTTCATAGCTTATGCTGTATAAGTTCTCACACGGGCAGGAAGGGGCATAAGCTTTCAGTAATGGAATCTCTGAGAAAAGGAGTGGGATTCTGGCTACAGCACTGTTCACAAATGCAACTATTATTAAAGTACCAGGGATTAGTGATGTCCCGAACGGTTCGCTAAACAGTTTGCCGAACGGTTCGCCACAGACGGCGAACATATGCGCAGTTCGGTCCACCCCCTATGTCATCATTGAGTAAACTTTGACCCTGTACCTCACAGTCAGCAGACACATTCCAGCCAATCAGCAGCAGACCCTCCCTCCAAAACCCTCCCACCTCCTGGACAGCTCACTAAGAATGCAGCTTCACAATGAATGTAAAATGGATGCTGTCCAGGAGGTGGGAGGGTCTGGGAGGGAGGGTCTGCTGCTGATTGGCTGGAATGTGTCTGTGAGGTACAGGGTCAAAGTTTACTCAAAACAGCGCATATGTTCGCCATCCGTGGCGAACCGTTCGGCGAACCGTTCAGGACATCACTACCAGGGATATATTGACAGGGGACTTCCTTGCATTGTAACCTTATACAAGGAGCATAGCATGTTATGGTGCTTGGATTGACCCATTAAGTTAGTAACAAATTATAGCAAACTCTATATAACAGAGGGCTACAACACTCACATGCATGTTAATGGGAGTCTGATATTCAAATCTGCTTCAATCTCACTTCTTGATATTTTTTACAATATAGTGATATTTTTCTTTTTATATTTTTGATATTTTTTCTCACTTCCACTTTTATAACAAACAAGATATAAAATTAAAGCGCTTCGGAGATTCATTAAGTCTGTTTTTTGTTCTTCTTTTTTATTATTTCCATGGAGATCTGGAAATAGCAGGCAGTTCAAGCACATAGACACATTTGTGTGTTTTAGCCTAAATTATAAAATATATACTTACTGGTATTTGTAAGTGGAGCTATGACATTAGCACATCTCATGTGCCATAAGAGAATTTGAGCCCAGTGACTTGTGTGCCGCAGGCATGTATATCATAGCAAAGACAGGGGCACAATCATACCTTCATTAAAATAACATGAGAAGCAAAACATTTCAGATCTGTATATATACACAAACAACAAAAGAAATGGAAAAATCCAACCATTATTATTATCTAAGACCACTCCAGTATTTATAAAGTGTCTAATAACATTTACATTTCAGGGAGCCCATTTTAGAACCAATAACATTTTATTGAGCTAAACTGAAAGAAGAAATACATTTAGAAAAATATCATAAGATACCAATATTATTAACTTTTTGAGCAGAGATGTGTCATTAAATAGATAGGTGATCTTTTTGATTTATCAATTTTATGTATAAAAGATACAAACAATAACACGTAAATTCTCTAAGGATCCAGACGTAGAGATGTCAAAAACATACATCAGATGACACTTAAAACCCCTAGATTTAAGCACAGAGGAGGGCTCTATAATACCAACTAAATGTACCTTTCCTGATTAAGTAGTTTGATATTTAAGTCTTGGTCAAGAACACAAAAGATGGAACAAAGCTCCATCTTTTGTCCACACCTCTAGCACACGTCTGGGTTGCTGGGAAAAAACCTGGGAAAGATAGGCTAGAGTCATGTACCAGTGGCTAAGACATTTAATGGAAATTTCATGGGACTTGGCATTCATAGAATTGCTATGAATCTTCATAAAGATATGCTGCCATTGAGCAGTAGTGAGCAAAATACCCAGTCTTTGTCCCACCGATTTGTGTAGGAGTGGAATTATGGATCTGTGGTAGTGAGAAGGAGGGAGTAAAGGGTGGAGAGCAAATTCTATGGATACACATGTGTTTAAACTGTGCGGTGGGGTGCAAAAGAAGGCTAGGATAGGGAAAGCTCTTTATGTATTGTTGTAGTTGGTGGTCGTGCAATAAGTCGGAACACGCCAGGGTGGTGAAAACAGCTTTTAACAGTATCTACCAGAAGCTTTCTACCATGCATATTCTCAAACCTTGCATCACTTTGCAGAATTTATTTTTAAATTAATCTTGCACTTTAGATACTCATTGGTAAGAAACATGGAAGCCATATTGGTTTGTTTCTGCAATAAATCACAATGATAGCAGGATAAAAGACGAAGCAGGCTTTCCAGGACCCTTCAGCCAATTATAGAACAAATGAAACATTCTGTTAGTACAGAACATGATGTAGTTTTATTTGCTGTCCCTGAATTCAAAAGCTACAGACGTCAAATGAAAGCTCCAGCAAGTGTAGTAAATGCTGTACTGTGGCTGCACTCATGATCCCACCTGCACAAAATATAAATTAGCTTCCATTATCTCTATAATTAGAATCTTGTCTGCAATAAAGGCTTGATGTGCTTTCCACCCTTGGAATCAAGATTCCACTTGTCTACAGACCTGCATTTTCACTGCCATCCCAAAACCTACACATTGTCACTAAATACCTTATTACAGGAAGCAAAGATCAAATCCTTTTTGAATGCACTGGCAGTGTGGGTGTAATTTTTTTTTATAGCATGAATACAGCTGCATTTCCAACAGTCTAGAAAGTGTGTTATTACAGTAATGAAATAAAGAGATGTAATATGTATCAGAAGATCATGACAGGTAGTTTCCATCAATTAGCAGTTAAAAAAACAAAAGCAAAATAAAAAGTTATTTTGGGATATTTAATGGTGCTTGCAGATTTGTTATGGACAAAAGTCTGTGAAAATGGCCACATTTCAACTGGAATGCCAATACTCTTCACCAAATCTGCAACAATTGTCCGGATGCACTCGATGTCTGGTTTTAAAAATCAGTGCTTTTCGCATCCGAACCCTATTTAATTGATGGCTGAGAGGAAAAAGGTGTAGGCTATCGAGACACCAGTAGGATCCATCATAGACATTCATGTCGTAATCTTGCGTGTGAGTTGAGCACTGAGGTGGGCTCCTGGCAGGTGAAGTGTCTGGTTCAGGTGAGGTTAAAGAGTGCCCATTGTATGGAGATGGTAGTGGCCGTGATGGAAAGCATCTGGTAAGTAAAAGCTACCTTCCATGCATCCCCAGTCCACCACACACCAAGTGGCGGTTGGAGTCTTTGCAAAGTATGCAAATCCCTAGAAGATGTCATAGATGGAAGCATGGGGAGGACCTGGTAAGTTACAGGCATGGAAGATGGTGTCATAAGGGAGGTTTTACATATCCATACTAATATGGGGGAATACTCACTCTTTAAAATAGAACCACTCTTTAAAATAATCTGTTTATTTACACTTTAACATGGAGGTTGGCTAGCAAGCATTGGTTAGCAGCCGTCTCAGTACTTAAAACTAGCGCTGCTAGCACTTTCAGAAGGCAATTAATTTAGATTTTTTTTTTTTTAAAACGGGACCCTGATTGTAAGCATATAGTTCTGGATTTCAGCCTTCCGGCAGCTTTTGGTCCAGCAGACATCCTCATTTAGAGCCTGCTCTGCAACATTCAGACATTGTTACATAATGTGGACAATATCCACATTTTGAAATCCTAAGGACTGTGCACAGAGTAGTTTTGCATCAAGTAATTCGGACTTTAGTGAATAATCCTGTACCATGTTAATTTACCTCATTTTGGGGCGGGGCTCTTCAACTCTACACCAAATCAGTGCACCCAGGGAGAGTTACCGAGTGCATAACTCGATTTTTCTTCTATATGGTTTAAAAATCACTGATCAATGGAATAATAAAAAAGACAGGGCTTTGCAAATAACATAGGAAAAACAAAAATCATGTTTTATTTATTTTCATTCACTTTTTGTATGTGTGAGTCTGTAAGAAAATAATCTTTGGTAGTTGGGCAAGTTGAGTCAGATATCCCGATCAAAGAGACCATCCATACAAAATCACAATAAGAGCAAGGCCTACACAAATAACAAGGAGGTTATAAATGGCAAGGATGTTACAGAGAACGTTAAGTAATAGCTAAGAATGATCCGGCAAACAAAGCATTGCAACAAAAGAACCTTCTCCCAACTAAGGGCTTGTCTCCAAAGTGGTTGCTAAATATGAACAGTAAGCTGTTATTATTACTAACAGTCAGTAGATACTTGTAACCATAAAATAGTGTGTTGTTTCCAAGCTTTAAATCTACCTTTAACGTGTGCACAAATTTAATATCTCAATGTCAACGTGTCAACTAAAGCCCACCAATCACTGTTATGAAAACTGGAAAAAAAGTGCATTTTCCAATGAATTGTCATAGCAGCAACACCAGGGACCAGGGCTCAGCTAAAGTTTGTATGAAGAGATGAAGATTGGTGTGATTTCCATGCCTATGAAATTGTTCAGAATGCCTCAAGAGCAGTGTTTGAGGACAATTTATTTTCATTCCTCATCAGAATCTCTAAAGGAAAGTAGTACACAGGAATCCAAAGGGAACGGTTTGTCAATCACAATGATGATAAGGTTTTCTACTATTTGCCACAATTTTTGAAGTTTGGGGCAGGCCCAGACTGGCCATCGGGCACACCGGGCAAATGCCCGGTGGGCCGCGGTGGCCATGGGCCAAGGCCGGCAGGGGACAGGACATCCCCTGCTGGTCTATGCAGGGCCGGCACTATCTGAGCGCCGGCCCCACTGTTTTCCATGAAAGATCTCCCTCACCGGCCCACTTGAAGAGACATGCGGCTGGGGAGGGAGAGGAGGACCCCGCGGAGCTCTATCTTGCAGCTCCGCCGGGTTCCTCTCACAAAATCTGGAGCGTTGCCATGGCAACGGCCCAGATCTCGCGAGCGTGAACTCTAGCCCACAGGACCACCAGGGATGGTGTGAGAGTGCCAGTACCCCCCTCCCACTGTGCCGGACCCAACCTCCCCCTCCCAGGCTAAAGGTAAGAAGGGGGGGGGGAATATAATGCCTGCTTATTAGTTCTTGTTTTTTTACCCCCCCAACAAACAATCCCTTTTAACATTCACCCACAGCACTCTCACACACAGCACACTCAGCACTCTCACACATCACACTCAGCACCCTCACACACAGCACTATCACACACATCACAGTCAGCACTCACACTTAGCACCCTCACACACAGCACCCTCACACACATCACACTCAGCACTCTCACACACATCACACTCAGCACCCTCACACACAGCACCCTCACACACATCACACTCAGCACCCTCACACACATCACACACAGCACTCTCACACACATCACACTCAGCACTCTCACACACATCACACACAGCACCCTCACACACAGCACTCTCACACACATCACACACATCACACTCAGCACCGTCACACAAATCACACACAGCACCCTCACACACAGCACCCACACACACAAAACACACACAGCACTCTCACAAGCAGGCTCCAAACACATGCACAATACTCTTTCCTGGCCCTTTTGTCTCCTGGTATCCATTTATAGAGACACCAGAGACA